GACACGCGTTTAAGAGAACATTTTCTTCAAAACTGAACAAACAGCTTCTTCTACCATTAAGAGGACCTATAAGCAGATCAGCTGGTATAGGGAGATGGGCATCATTCAAACACTGACAGTTATCTTTTGGAGCTAAAAGCAAAAATCCAATGAGAATAAGAATGCTTTGAAAAGCAGAATTGGCCACATGGAAAAAGACACACAAAAATTTACTAAAGAAAATAACTCCTTAAAAAATAGAATTGGCCAAATGGAAAAGGAGATACAAAAGCTCACTGAAGAAAATAATACCTCAAAAATTAGAATTGAGCAAGTGGAAGTTAATGACTTTATGAAGCATCAATAAACAATAAAACAAAATCAAAAGAATGAAAAAATAGAAGACAATGTGAAATATCTCATTGGAAAAACAACTGACCTGGAAAATAAACTGAAGAGAGATAACATAAGAATTATTGGACTATATGAAAGCCATGATAAAAAAAAAAGCCTAGACATTATCTTTCAAAAACTTATCAAGGAAAACTTTCTTGATATTCTAGAACCAGAGGGTAAAATGTAAACTGAAAAAATCTACCAATCACCTCCTGAAAAAGACCCCCAAATGAAAACTCCCAGAAATATTATAGCCAAATTCCAGAACTCCCAGATCAAGGGAAAAAATGTTGCAAACAGCCAGAAAGAAACAATTCAAATATCATGAAGCCACAGTCAGGATAACACAAGATTTAGTAGCTTCTATGTTAAAGGAACACAGGTCTTAGAATATGATATTCTGAAGGGCAAAGGAGCTAGGATTACAACCAACAATCACTTATCCTGCAAAACTGAATATAATCCTTCAGAGGAAAAATGGACATTCAATGAGATAGATGACTTTCAAGCACTCCTAATTGGAAAAAAAGCAGAGCTGAATACAAAATTTGACTTTCAAATACAAGACTCAAAAGAAGCACAAAAAGGTAAACAGGAAAGAGAAATCATAAAGGACTCAATAAAGTTGAACCATTTACATTCCTATGTGGGAAGATGATATTTATAACTCCTAAGGACTTTCTCATTGTTAGGGCAGTTAGAAGGAATATATATAGGCAAAAGGCACAGGTGTGGGTTGAATATGACAGGATGATAGCTTAAAAAAATAAAATTACAGGGTGAGAAAGAAGAAGAAAAGAAGGGAGAGGTAGAATGGTGTAACCTATCTCACATAAAAGAGGCAAGAGAGAGCTTTTACCATGCAGGGAAAGATGGGAGAGGTGTGGGGAATGCTTGGACCTTACTCTCATCAGAATTGGCTCAAAGAGAATAATGTATACAATCAATTGTGTATAGAAAACTATCTTACCCTACAGGAAAGTAGGAGGGGAAGGGCATAAGATAAGATGTGGAGGATGCTGATAAAAGGGAGGGTGGATTGAGAGAGGTGGTAGTCAGAAGCAAAACATTTTTGAGGAGGGACAGGGTGAAAGGAGAGTGAGAATAGGATAAATGGGGGGGAATGAGATAGAAGGAAATACAATTAGCAATCATAACTGTGAAAAAATTTTTGTAGCAAGTTTCTCTCATAAAGGCCTCATTTTTTAAATACATAGGGAAATGAATCAAATTTATAAAAAATGAGTTATTCCCCAATTGGTAAATGATTAAAAGGTATGAAGTAAATTTTCAGATGAAGTAGTCAAAGTTATCTATAGTCATATGAAAAAAAAATTTTCTAAATCACCATTGATTGGAGAAATACAAATTAAAACAATTCTGAGGTACTACCTCCCACTTGTTAGATTGGCTAATAGGACAGAAAAGGGAAATGACAAATGTTAGAGGGGATGTGGGAAAATTGAGACACTAATGCACTGGTGGTGGAATTGGGAACTGATTCAACCACTCTGCAGAGCAATTTGGAATGAGACCCAAAAGCTTATAAAAACCATGTATAACCTTTGACCTAGAAATACCATTACTAGGTCTGTATCCCAAAAGAGATTAAAAAAAGAAAAAGGACCTACATGTACAAGAATATTAATAGCAGCTCTTTTCTGTTGGCAAAGAATTGAAAATTGAGGGGATGCTCATCAATTGGGGAATGACTGAACAAGTTGTGGTATATGATTGTGATGAAACACTATCGTGCTAAAAGAAATGATGAGCAAGATGCTCTCAGAAAAACTTGGAAAGACATGAACTGATGCAAAGTGAAATGAGTAGAACCGGGAGAATTTTGTACACAGTAACAGCAATATTGTAAGATAATCAATAGTGAATGACTTAGCTATTCTCAACAATACAATGATCCAAAACAACTCTGAAGGACTTATGATGAAAAATGCTATCCATCCCCAAAGAAAGAAATGATAGAGTCTGAATACAGATCGAAGTATACTTTTTTAACTTTCTTTATTTTGTGGTAATTTTTTTGGCCTATGTTTTCTTTTACAACATGACTAATATGAAAATGTTTTGCATGACTACATGTGTAAAACCTGTATCAAATAGCTTGCCTTCTTAAAGAAGAGGGTGAGGAAGGAGGGAGAAATTTTGAAACTCAAAATTTTAAAAACAAATGTTGAAAACTGTTTTTACATGTAGTTGGAGAAAAATAAAATGCTAAATAAAAAATTTTTAAATAGTGAAACTTTATGAAAAACAAAATTGTACTGTGTTATCACATATTACACAATAATTTCCATGATATGTCATTTTACTATAACCTAGTATTTTCGGGTTAGTGGTTTGGGGAGTAAGAAAAATGTTTAACATAGAAGCTCATTAGAAGTTAAAGTGCATGTACTATAGTACATGCTTATATAGTATATAGTATGTATACTTATATAGTATAATACTTCAGGGTACAAATATGGTTGGAAATTAAATTCTTCATCTTGGCTTTTCTATGTCACAAAGAATGCTTTGTCAAAATTGATTTTTATCAAGTATCCCACTTAACACCTGTCCCATGTAGAAATAAAAAATATACAGCCCAAGCAAAGAGAAAAGTTGTTCATTTATTTAGAAAATGGATAACTAAATCCACATATTATGCCAAAGTATGGATGACTAGCCAAAATAGCAACATAATTACATGTTCAATTCAATTCACCAAGCATTTATTTATCAACTACTATGTGCCAGACATTGTGCTGTGGGCTAAGAATACAAAGATTAAAACAAAACAGTGCCTGTCCTCAAGGAGCTTACATTCACATGACACTAATTTTTTTGAACCATTCTTGTCACTGACTCAGAGAAAAATCTAACCAAAATATTATGCCAAACCTACAAAGAGTTAATTAATTTCTTTTAGGCCTATTCTCCTGAATCCAAAACATTCCATATACATTATATATTGTAAATGTATATTCCATATACATTCCATATACATTAGAGCTAGAGGGATGTCCATGAGATTTCCACAGACCTAGAGGCACTACTTTGGGTGAGGACCTGGATTTAAATCGTTGTTTTGATATTTAATGTGTGATACTCAATAAGTACTTAAACTTTCTCAACACTAACTAAATAGAGAATTGGATCTGTAATCAGGGAGACCTGGATTCAAACCTTACCTCTAACACTTATCACCTATGTGACTATTAGCAAGTCATTTAAAATATGAGCCTCAGTTTCCTCATCTATAAAGTGCAAACAATAATACTGCAGTACCCACCTCACAAGAGTGTTGTCAGGCCCAAATTAGATAATGGATGGACAATGTTTTGCACACTTTAAATAATTGTATAAATGTCAGTTACTATTATTTGTAAAATGTACTAGATACTCATTTGTTTTTAAATTCTAAAGTCTATGATTTACGAATACTATCATGCCCTAATCTTCATGTGTTAAGTCAATTTGTTCATATTTTACCACCCTGCTCACAATATTTCACAACTGAAATAAGTCATACATCTTTTCATTATGCATATTATATAATATCATATATTTTAGTAGTCTTCTAGTAATATTAAAATGCATACTTTGTTCAATCTCATACTCTGTCAACACAACTGCAAATAATCCAATGGAAACTGAAAGATGAATTTATTCACATAGGGTGATATATAGAAAAGCATCTCAATCTCATCTCTTATTTGGTGACTTTGGAAATATGCAGACATATCTGAAAACATTACAGTGTATGTTTGGAATTTATTTCCACTTTCAGTGGGCATTAATCAAATGTATTCAGGTAACAAAGAAGCACTCTTTCTCAAAGTCCTATTTTGCAATAAATGTTAAGAAATTACTAATCTTCAGAGAATCTCTTTTTTTGCTAACACATAAAAATCTTATCTATTGATTTGATCTCAATCTAGGACCTTTTTAACTATCATAATATTGCAACTCTCTTTTGTATCCAGATTTTTTATTTGTTCTGTTTCTCTTTCATGTTAAAAATTATTTAAGCCAAACGTATATTATCTTAGTAGCATTTCCAAAATACATAATGTCACTTTTCTCAAAAATCTAAAACAATAGATTACTTACGTATGATTTGCATAGTGGGTATCTAATAAATGTATGTTTAACTCAATGACAACAGTGCTGTATGCAGCATTTTATTGTGGAGATGGAAAGTTCAAAAACATTTTCCATCCAATAAATGTCTTTATATAAAATATCATAATCCAATAACACAAAACTAGCTTTTAACAGACAAAATAAGCAGGAAATGATTTCTATGAATTTTCTTTCAAAAACTAGAAATTTTATTTTAAACTTTCTTTTTTAATTTTCATATATATCATCGAATACATAATTCATCCATAATATTAAGGTTACTGGGCTATATTGCTAACATTTATATAATACTTAAAGTTTGCAAAGCACTTTATGTCTATTACCTTATTTGAAAATATATCAATTGTAACCATGTCATTTTGTTAGAGCATGTCAGGCATAACCATTTTTTATAAGCAGCATGAGTACAAAAAAAAAAAAGACTTTTTGCCATTATATGGCATCAGGAAAAGGGAGGTCATTTATTACAATTGATTACTCACCTTTGGATGTCTTGAAATATTCTGGCAAAATTAAAATGAACATGATCATTATTACCACTAATAACTTGAGGAGAGCTGGTTTTGTCATATTCAAGCACATGGCATGAAATAACTCAGATCTAGTGCAGTGGTGGTGTGTTTCTTCCTGGTTTAAGTTTCATTTTTGTGGTATATTACGTTAATGTAAGTTACTTCAGACTTCCTTTTCGAGGTAAGACTGTTTTTTATTGCAAAGAAGCTCTGAAGAGAGATTCATTTTTCTGGGTAGCTTTTTCATTAAGAAAACTATCCTCTAATAAGCACTTTCAAAACTTCTTCTAAATGTGAAATTTAAATAAATACATAGCCAAGGGGTTGTTCCTGTCTTGTTTTGTAGATGTTTGCTCATGTTTATCAATTTGTGCAGAGAAATATAATTCCATTCTCTAGTTGCCAAAGAGAAAGTAACTCATGCCTGAAAATATCCCAGGAAGCATGATCCAGGAAATAGTATGTTCAGAAGCCAGTAAACAGTGTGGTACTTCACTATAAAGGAAAACTCAAGAGGCAAGCAGAATTTTAGTGCTATTTTGCCAAAGTATATATGGGAGCAGTAGGATTAGGAAAAGATACCATTAGGATTCCATTATTCCCGAATGCTGTAGTTATCATCACATAGTCCACATTTTCTGTTCCATTTCAAGATAGATCTTTCATTATGACAACCACAGTGAAATCACATACATACTTCATGGAATATAAATGATAATACAGGGAAAATGTACGGTGAATAATGCATAAGTAAAAACAAATATATTGACTTAGGAAATACATATCATATAGTACTTCATATTATTTTAGTGTAGAGATTTTGTTTCTTTGGGGGATTTGATTTTCTTTTTTTTTGATTACTGGCTAAAAGGTAGCAGCATCTTTTTTCCTCTCTGCCCATGTAGATGGATAGGGCAGCTAGGTGACACAGTGGATAGAGTGCCAGGCCTAGAGTCAAGAAGACTCATTTTCCTGAGTTCAAATCTGGCCTCAGACACTTAGTAGTTGTATGATCCTGGGAACATCACTTAACCCAATTTACCTCAGTTTCCTCATTTGCAAAATGACCTGGAGGAGGAAATGGCAAACCATTCCAGTATCTTTGCCAAGAAAACCCTAAATGGGGTCATGAAGAATCAGACACGACTGAAAAATGATTGAACAACTACAGCCCATGTAGGTTGATCGAGGAGAAAAGGTTTCTTCTACTGGAGTGAAGCATATGGACCGGGAGATGGCAGCAGTTTTGTTTGGGAAATGAAGAGTTACGAGACTAAGGGCCCAGGATCAGTGAGAGAGGGAGGCAATGTGGTATAATGAAAGGACTACTAGACCTGGAGTTAGGGAAGACTGTCTCAAATCATGCCTCTCACCCTTATTAGTTGTGTGACCATGGGTAAGTTGCTCAGTCTCTCTGCACCTCAGTTTACTCATCTATAAAATGGAGGGAAACAAACCCAATCTATAATACCTAATGGGGTAGTTCTGAGAAACAAATGAGAGATATCCAAAGCACTTTACAATCCTCAAAAAGCTACATAAAGTCAGCTATTAACATTATTATTGGAGGTGTTGGGGTTAAAGGAGAAAGAGAGCTGTGGGAATCTTTCACTGCAGTGATAGTAAGGCTACTGGGGGCCTTGGACAAATTAGAGGCAAGGCCCAGCAGCAAGTGCTGGAGAAAGGATTACCCTTAGCTCACAAACATCTGAACCTTCTATGAAATTCTTTCCCAATAACATGGCAGTGATGTCACTATCAGAGCTCGGGGAGGGGGCCTAGAACACAAACAGAGTCAGGTAACTACCTTCACATTGGCTGCTAGCATATTTAAATCCTCACTGTAGCATTAACAAAAGCACGTAAATTAATGTCCTCTTGTTTTAAAGAGACTAATTATACACTTGACCCCTAGGTAGGGGTTCTTAACCTGGGTTCTATGAACTTGGTTTTTAAAAAAATAATTATAACTATACATCAATTGTTTTCTTTTGTTATCCTAAATATTTTACTTTATGCATTTAAAAACAATGTTCTGAGAAGGAATTAAAATAGCTTCACCACCCTACAAAAGGATCCATGATACAGAAGTTAAGAACCCCTACCCCAGAGGAATGAGTCTTATATTAAATCCTAAACTTCCCATATTGTCATGCATGTTTTATCAATGCACAGTTAACTCTTGGCCTTTAATCATGTGAAATAAAAACAGTCCCATAATTATAGACACTGGAATTTATTAGTTACTTGTTTTTTGTTAAGCTGTTTTAAGAACTTCAAACATTGCTAAAGTTCCTAGTTCCAGTTCTCCAGGGTCTTTAATTTTATTAATTCATCCAGGGTTCACCAGGTCCAACTAAACTGACTCACACTAACTAAAGTCACAAGCTTCTAATTTGTAAAACATGAAGTCAATCTTTTTCCTCTCCCTTTCTTTCCATCTTCTAGCTAGTACTAAAACTTGGCTCCCTACTGACAACACAGCCTCCTTGGCCACCCGGATACTAGATACATCTTCACTCATTAGTTGAGGTGGGGGATCTAGAACATTCTTTGCTCCCCATTGCCACTTCCAGGTTCTCTCCCTACCACCATCACTCAGCAACCTTTCCTCTTTTGAGGTTCATGCTGTTTATTTCTACTACCTAATCAAAATCCTTATAGCTGTTATTTACAGATCTCCAGGTCTTCAACAAGATTGATATCTGGTTCACAACTTTTCTCTCCTCTCCAACTCCTGCCCTCCTACAAAGAGACTTCAATATACATATTGACTCTCTCTCAAAAACCTTAACCACTCAGTTCCTCAACCTATTCATTTCCCCTGGCCTACTCCTTTGCTCCCCCTGACACACACAGAGATGCTCCTATCTATTAGCCCCACTCCTTCTCAGTCCCCTTTGCTAGCTCCTTATCTAGATCACTCTCTCTAACCCTAGGTGTTCCACAGAGTTCTATTCTGGGTCCTCTTCTCTTCTGCCTCTATACTACTTCTAGTGATCTCATCAGCTCCCATGGATATAATTACCGTCTCTGTGCTGATGATTCTTAAATCTACATGTCCTACCCTAAATTCTCTGTTAAATCTCCAATTTTGCATCTCCAATTCCCTTTTATACATCTTAAACCAGATGTTGGGCCTCTTAAACTCAACATACTCAAAATCAAACTCATTTATCTTCCCCCCCCCAAAAAAATCCTCACCCACTCCTAAATTCTCTGTTACTGTAGAAGGCAACATCATCTTAGCAGTCCCTTAGGTTTGAAATTAAGTGACATCCTTACCTCTTCACCATTTCTTACTTTCCATACCCAATTTATTGCCAAGGCCATTTCACCTTGACAACATCTCTCAAACATACCCCCATCTTTCCCGACACTGCCACCACTCCGGTGCAGGCTTTGATCACCCCATGCTTGGACTATTTCAATAGTCTTCTGGTGAGTCTGCCAAGCTGAAGTCTCTTCTCACTCCAATCCATCTTCCATTCAGCCACCAAAGTGATTTTCTTAAAGTTCAGGTCTGACCATGTCATCTCCCTACTCAACACATTCCAGAGGCTCCTTATTGCTTCCAGGATGAAACACAAAATCCTCTCTTTGGTGTTCAAAACTGTTTATAGCATAACTCTTTCATACTTTACCAGTTTTCTCATACCTTAATCCCTTCTGTGTACTCTTTGATCCAGTGACAGTGGCCTTTTGACCATTCCACAAACAAGACACTTCATCTCTCAGCTCCAAGCATTTTCTCTGGCTATTCTCCATGCTTGGAGTGATCTCTTTCCTTGTCTCTGCCTACTAATCTTCCTAGCTTCCTTCAAGTGCCAACTAAAATTTCATTTTCTATAGGAAGTCTTTCCCAATCCCTCTTATTTTAATGCTTTCCTTCTTTTATTCCTGTTTATCCTGTATATAGCTTGTTTGTACATTTTTTTTGTTTGTTGTCTCCCCTGTCAGATTGTGAGCTCCTTGAGGGCAGGGACTGTTTTTTTGTCTCTTTTTCTATCCTCTGCGCTTAGCATAGTGCCTGGTGTATAGTAAGCATTTAATAGATTTTGATTGACTGAAGAGGAAGTTCTAAAGGGAGCAAATTTCTTTGGGGAAATGAAGTAATTGGACTAAATAATCTCAGAATTCCTTTTCAGCAGAAAAGTCTAGGATTTTGTGATTCTGTAGGCTGATTCTCCTTGTCCTGTCCCTCATTTAATGTCACAAAGAAGAGTATACTACCTTGCCTTTTCTATTTCTTTTCTCTTCATCTTTGTTACTAGCCACTTCTAGGAATTTCTTCTCCAATACTATCCCTACACCACTGTTGAATCATATGATTTCTTGGATTTGGGTCACCAGTAGGAGTCTAAGTCATATGTATGCATCTTTTCCCACTGTTCAAAAATTATTTATTAAGCTTTAACCCTGCAATAGCATTGTACTAGTTGTTATAGAAAGACATAAAAGAAATGTTATTGTTGCAATTCAGGAGCTTATAATCTAGCTAAGAAAAGACATATACATTACATAATTGAATGTTATGGTCTTAGGAGTTGCAACCTTTCCCATCTAAGTAACAATCAAAAGTAATATATTACTATGTCATAACTACCCAAATGAATGTTACAGGTGATAGGTATTAAAAAGAAAGGATAGCCCCTGTAGGTTTCATTGATTGCGGAAGACTTCATGAAAGAGGTAGATGTTGAGCAGAGTTGTAAAGGAAGAGTTGAGTTAGCATAGACTGCAGGGTAATGAACATTATAGTTGAGGAGAAAACAAAAACAATGGTTATGGGAAAGTCAGGAGATTAGCATGTTCAGAGTACAAAGAGGAGAGAGATTAGCCTCATTAAAGTAGAAGATTCATGTTTGGCATTGGTGAGAGAAAAGATCAACTAGAAAGAGAGGGACCAAATTATAGAAAGTTTTAAATGTCAATTTGGCAAGTTTGGACTTTTAACCAGTACATAATTGGAAACCATTGTAGATTTTGCTTGTTTGTTTTGGAGGCAATGGGGGTTATGTGACTTCACCAGGGTCACATAGCTAGTGAATGTTTGAGGCCAGATTTGAACTCCGGTCCTCCTAACTCCAGGGCCAGTGC